AATCATTTTATAAAGCAAGCACACATTTAATTGAGCAAAAGTGACAGCAAAGACATTTATACTATTACAAAAGATGCCTTCAAGTAAATTCTGTTTGAACTCATTAAAGAATCTTGTGTAAAAATGTATCATAGATTCCACAAAAATATTAAGCAGCACACAAGGGGTTTCAATATAATAAATGTTTCTTGAGCAGCAAATCAGCATATTAGAATGATTTCTGAAGGATCATGTGACCGTGAAGACTATTTTAAAATATATTAAAATAGAAGATAATAAGATAATATTTTGTTTTTACTGTATTTCTGATCAGATAATAATAAGAGACTTTTTTGAAAAACTTTTGAACAATAGCATAAAAGTACCATGCCATCTGATGTGACATGATTTGACATATGATACGATATGTAATATGATACAATCATGTGTGTTTGATCATTTTCATTTTTTTATCTCTCCTGTCCTGCAGGTATTCTCACGTTTCTCCTCTAGAGCTGGACAAGTTTCTGGAGGATGTGAAGTAAGTGTTACCAGTTAAAGCAATAATGTAAAAAAGTAACCTGTGGTTTTTGTGGTTTGTAATGTGTACATGTGCATTTTACCGCTCAGGAATGGCATTTACCCTCTGATGAACTTTGCGTCCACTCGACCCCATCCCGTACCTCGTGCCCTCTCCATGTCCCAAGAGCAGGTGGAGACAGTGAAGACCCCCACGCCGGAGCCGCAAGAGGCTGAGACCAGGAAGGTGTGTGTTCTCATCAAAGCACATTTACTGTATAATAGTTCAGTATTTTCTTAGTTAATCTTAAGTTGTCATTCTAGGTGGTACAGATGCATTGTAACCTGGAGTCTAATGAAGAAACTACTAAAACTCATGTGAGTTTGTCTCAGTTTAGTACACATGCTATTTTGTTTAAAGATTCATCCAAGAGCAATCTTGATCAGTGACACAGTAGTGTTAGAATGGGATTGTGATTCTCTGTTTAGTTCTTTGTGTCTCTGGTGATTCATCTACATTTGTTTTAATTGTTATTAATGATAATGCAGACTATTATACTCATGTTAATGGGTACAACATGGCAACATCTGTTGAATCAGTGGCAAATGAACTGATATCTGCTGTTTTCACAGCTCACTCTTTTCTTGAAACTGGATGATAAACTCCATCGGCAGCTCAGCTGTGATATTATGCCAAGTGAGTTTAACCGCATTGACTTTTTTTTGCAAATATATTTTTCATCATCTCTTCACCACATAAGTGCAGTGGTGCTAAAATTGAATGGCACCCAACAATGCAGTATGTCACTACTGCATTGTTGGGTGGCATTATATTTTAATTTCTACTTACATTTTTATGGCGTTAAAAAGTGAATAAATAAATATTTAATTTTAATTTTTAATTTCACATTATGATATTTTAATCAAGGTATAATTCCTACAAAATACTATTTTTTATTTGAACTAAGTAGACCTTAGTGTTTTGTGACTCAGAACTTACTTAAACTATTAAATTATATTTATTTAGTTTTTCAGCACATGAAATAAAGCTGGAATAAAATAATATATAAATATTAGATGAAAAAACTGTTGCATTAGCAACTTACTTAATGGTTTATTAATAAGTACTAACAGTTCTGAAGCGGAAATAAAAATAAATGAAAGCTCAATAAAAATAAAATAAAAATGCAGAAAGTACAACAGAATTGCTGAAACTTAAACTATAATTAAAAATAGTTTAAGTTTTAGTAAATCTGTTGTGCTTTAGTCGTTTTTATTTTTTATATAAAATATATATTTAAAAAATCCAAATATGAATACATATTATAATAATATCAAAAACAACACTGGTTTGGAACAACACAAACTATTCATTTCCTCATTATTTTGTGTATTAGCTTTTGAAATTTGTATTTAAATATTCAAACATACTTATCAATATTTAAATATATTGACTATCATTTGAAGTCATGGTGTTCAGTGATTGGTTCAGATTTAAAATATCATGTACTGAATGCTGATATGTGGTTATTACAGATGACAGTTCCAGAGATTTGGTCAATGAACTTATCCATCATTCCTTTATCAGTGAGGTGAGACTAAAAAACACACTGATTCACACTACATACTGCAAATTTCCTATTTTCACTATGTTCATCATCTCAAAGCATATCAGTATCATTTCTTGCATGTGACATGAAATCACATGGAAGCAGCAGCTACAGCTAAATGTTCACTTCTTGTTCAACTTCTTGTCCTATGCCTATATTTTGCCATCAATTTCCACAGGAGGATGGTGACAAGATCGTGGCGTTCCTGGAGGAAGCTTTGAACCGACACCGTGGGTCTGCTAGCGCCATAACAACCATATGAATGACAATGGTCTGTTGCGATGGCGATGGACATTTACATGCCAGTGGAACCTGAGAGGGAGGCCCGCCAACAGAAGGAGAAGGTTAATGGAAACGAATGATCCAGTTTGTCAGTTAGTATGGATAATTGAAATTGTGGTCAAAAAACATGACATGGTTTTATGACAACAAGTGATTGACCAGGTTAGGGGGCACCAGAAATGCCCATCTAAGATGATTGTGCTACCTTCCCCGAGTCTCCATCCAGCACTTCCAGGTGTCACTGTAGGAACCGTCCTTCCCACAATCCCATTGGATGCTTAAGGGCAATTCGGCCTCTCTTGAAGAAAGTCGTATGTGGTGTAGGTAGGAGGTGTCTGCTGTGGAGAGCTCAGTAGATGAAAAAAAAGTTTAGAAAAAACTAATTTGTTACAGTTCATTATTGCCAATCTTCTTCATTTTGTGACGTAAAAACAGAAAAACTATTGTTAGGCCAGAAACATACTCTACGCAAGTATGCTAATACAGATGCCAACACATTGCAAGTGCATGTGCGTTTTTATGTTACTGTGGTGTTAAAAAACCTCAGTACTCGGCGATAGAGTTGCACTATATATGCCATTAAACCAGCTATAAACATCAGAAGTTAAGCTTAACAAGTTTTCTCTTCAAACTGTTGCTCTGCCATGAAAACAGTTTACACTAATGCTAATGCTCGCTAATGCTAGTGGCAACGCTAAGAATGCAATGTCTGTTTGTCTTATGAATTGTGTTCGGCCTCGTTTTTAAAAAAATCAGAGGTAGTATAGCTAGAAGCATCAGCATTGACTTACTTGCGTAGATGATGTTACTGTCCTGAGGAAATAATAAACTTAGCATTAATATGGCATGATTGGATTGAAGTGTCAATTAGAATGTACATTTTCTGGAGAGTTACCTGTCTTTTAGCTTGTCAGTTTCCCCAAAATGCTATCTTGCAAATATATCTTACGAAAGAAGTTGCTTTAAGGCCAATTAAATGAATGTGATTGTAATGCAGTCCACACATTGCCCTGTCAGCTATCATGACTCATGAGAATGTCTTAATATGCAGTTGGAGTGTTTTGCATATACAGGAATGTATTGCCTTATATAAACATTGCTGTTTGCTGGTGTCTAATAACACTAATTGAAAATAATTTCAAAGAACCACACATTTTATACAGATTACACATGTAAGAAACGTGAAAGATCCTGGTTAGTCAACCAGCTAACCAGCTGTCAAACTACATGGTTTTGGTGGCGACTTTTGTAGAATGCATAAAGATGTATACATTTCTGTGAGAATACACTAAGTTCTTTGTCATGAGCATTTACTTAACTGAATAAACTATCTCTATTAAAATGACTGAATTTATTTTCACAATTTTATCAATTTTTTGTCCTGTGATGTGAACAAACTACAAATTCCATGTAGTTTTATGGTCTCATTAAGGGATTCATAATTATTAACACGCAAAGGACATGTTTGAAATATTTTAAATGGAGTATGGCATGGATAAACAACCCTATCTAGCGACGCATTGCGATTATTTTTTTTAACGACTCATCTGAATCGATTCTGTGGGCTGCGGCTGCGTGTGCACGGGTAGGTACTGTGCCATATTCTGTTTGTTACTAATTCTCCACAAAAAATCTCGAGCATCTAAAGTATCTAAACTCCCACGAAATTCGGAAACAGCGAATCGAATTACTAGGGAAATGGCTTGTTTCATTGTATACGATTTGCCTCACTACGCCGCCGTGAAAAACGCGGGCTTTCGCTTGACGCGTGCAGTGCGTGTTATTTTGATTCTACACTGACAACAAAGCTCAAGACTCGGAATCACTGAACAAAGCGTAAAGGATGGTTGTTATAAACTAAATCGAGGATGTCCACTATTCATTAGTACGGTAAGTGACCTCGCGTGTTGCCTTTTTGTTTTTCCGAACTCTGTCAGGGTTGCCAGGTTTTTCACAACACGCAATTAATTGCGTGCGTAAAAATAAAACATTTTTTTGAGTAGCAATTGCTACTCAAAAGTCACTAACGTGTGACTTTTAATTGCAGGAGCTAAATATCACGTTATTGGGGTCGCTTCAATCCGCGGCAACAGTTAAAGTAGCCCAATTCCGCTGGAAAACCGCTGACTTGGCAACACTTCGTCTGTCACCAGGCAGATTCGATAAGAGATTCGATTGGAATCGGATCTCTGAGTCGGTTCCTGAAGAATCCCACTCTTATTATATGCAAAGAAAGTTTCACCACAGGTTAACCCCCAATTTTCGTCCAGGACAGGTCAATGACATTTTTAGTACTATTCTTTTTCTTGGTACTGTTTGACATAAACTGTTTTTGTTTTCTTTTTATTTTCCAATCCACTGAAACATGAAGTTTTCTATAAAATGTCTGCTTCACCACTGATATGTTTGTGTGTTATTAACCTGTTTCACTTCCTCTCACAGCATCTGTGGTTGATCCCAGCAGGTTCTTGAAGAAGGTTTTGGTACGGGTCTTTATTACTGTGTGAATCTATGACCACCTAAGTCACTGAAGCAATAATACTCTCCACTGTCTTCATTCTGGGCTCCATTGATGACCAGCTGGAAATTTTTATCAGATCCATTTCCACTAAATATAGATGGGATGGAAGAATATCGGATATGTCCATGATAGATGAGGAGTTTAGGAGCATCTCCCGGTTTCTTGAGGTACCAGCTAAGACAATATTTACTATCACACCAGTTACCAACATCAAGACTGGTTTGACATGTTATTGTAACTGATTGTCCTGATTCAACAGTCTTCTTCGAAGGGTTTTGAGTCACTGTCACTTGATTGGAGTCTGTTAATGGTAATACAATTATTTAGACACAAATAATTTTTTTTTTCTTAAATATAACAAAGAAAAGTAGAGATTAAAGTTGAAAGTTACCTTGAACAGAAAGAGTCAGTGACATAAAAAAGATGATGAGAAAAATTAAAAATGCCATTTTTTGTGTTTTGATTATTATAAAAGCAGGTCATAGTTATGAGGTTAAAGTCACAAGATTATATAGCTGACAGTAGCGCGCCGCTGAAATTACTATGCAAATTGTGCTGTTCGCATGAAAATAATCTTCACTTGAACACCAGAATTGTGCCATTAAAGTTAATGTATATATCTAACTAAATATAAAGAATCTAAAAATAAAAGTCTATGTATTATGATATTTTACTAACTTGATTTAACAGTGCACAGTATCAGGCCAAGAAATAATAGTATGAAGGATAATTAAGGCCAAAAAGAGATTTGCTCCTAATGCAACAGTATTGACCTATGATCATATTTTATTTTGTACATCCTATAAAATTCAAGTAATTCAAGTTATATTATATTTATTTATTTTATTTATTTAGTCATTTAGCAGACGCTTTTATCCAAAGCGACTTACAAATGAGGACAACAGAAGCAATCAATTGTAGTATTAAAACAACTAAAAACAGAACGTTATAAATACTACCTATACACATTTTTAAAATAAAGAGATTAAATAAAAGTGACAAATGCATACAACAAAATTTCAAAACGTAACATTTAAATGAAAAACAAAAAAATAAAGCTAAAAACAATTCAAAATATTAAAGAACAAAAGGTATAAGAGTATAATAATGATTCTAACATAACACTAAGCCAAACACCAAAAAACCAACTACATATGTGTATGTACAACCACACACACATACATATATACTGTATATATACACATTTATAAATTCAATATATATATTATTTCATTTCCATTTAGTTTGTTGAAGTATTAAAATAACTCAAATTAAAACTAAAACTTAATAAAAGACATATACAGACATAATAAATTCAGACATAATTTAACTAAAATTAAAATAAATAACAAATACAAATAATACAAATCAAATGACAGTAGTTTATCAGTAATCCTAAAAAAATAACACTGCCAAACACACATGCTAAAAAAACAACAACTTACTTACACATAGTAAGAAATGGTTATAAAAACTGAAACAGAAGCGAAACAAGTAATAGGAAAGAGGAGAAATAAAAAGCAATACTTATACTTATTATATAAGCATAAAAATTATTTGGGTGTAATTTCATGTGTAACAGGTTTCTGTATATAGTATGTAACAGAACTTTAAATCTCATAGTTTGATTAAGCAAGTCAAACGTATACATAAAACAAAAATACACTTTTAAAACATTTTAAAAAATATATGACAAAATGACATTAAAATAAGTTAAAAATAAAGCAAATAAAAGTAGTTTTATTACATTTTTTTTACTGTTGCTGTTCAGTAATCTAGTATTATTTTACAATTATATTAATATTTGTAATATAATTTAAATTTTAATGTAAGAATATTTTATATTATATTATATTTTATAAGACAAATGGGCCAGGATTTAGCATGACAATTAAATAGATTTTGCTTCATTTATTGTAAGTAAATAAATGGTGTTGTCATAATGGTCTTAATTGCTTTTAAAAGTAAAATGTCTATTTTTTAGCATTTTGTTTAAATGTTTTCTTGTCCTAAATATAATTTAAAAAAAAGGATGTTAGAGTAAATGAAATGTTATTAAAAAAACATTTATACAGTCATATCGCGGAGAACAACAGCTCAGTTCAAAAGTATTAAAAATAACATTATAAATAGTTAAATAGCACTGAAAACTTGATCTGTAATCTAAACAAGATTCGCTAATGCATATTCTAGATTTAATCTCAGCTTCACTGGCACATTAAATTAATAAAAGTCTAAAACTATGTAAAATAAACTTTAAACTCTAAATCCTAAATTGTATTATAACCAGTCAGTGTGTCATTGTGCTGTTTCACTTCCTTCCCATCAGCACCTGCAGTGTGTAGCAGTGCAGACAGTGTGAATGAGACTGAGGGAGGTTTTTGTACGACCCTTTATCACTGTGTGAACACATACTTGTTGTCAATCTTGTGTGTTGTCATACAGTAATATTGTGCTTCGTCTTCTTTCTGGACTCCACTGATGGTCAGGTTGAAGTCAGTGTGAGCGCCATTGCCGCTGAATCTAGATGGGATGTTTGAGTGGCGTTCGCGTATGTGATAAATGAGGAGTTTGGGAGCGTGTCCAGGTTTGTGCTGGTACCAGAACACACAGTTCCTCCAGAGACTACAGTCAGCAACAGGTGAGTTGGTTTTGCAGTTTATTTTGACCGTTTCATCACGTTGAGAAGTTAGGACTTGAGGAGTTTGAGTTACTGTCACTTGTCCATTTGAGCCTGTAAAATAAATAGTTAGAAATATCTTCATCATATCTGATTAAAAATATAAAGCATTGCTTATTTGACCTACCTTGAATACCAATGGCCAGTATGCAGATGGGAATGATGGAAAACATAGCTGTTGTCAGCTGTACTGTCATTAAATGTTGCTCTTGTATGAAACACTAAAACTGACAAGGTTATAAAGAGCAGTTAAGGTTAAAGTTCTGTTAATGCAAATGATCTTGTCAGTGTAAATATTCTGCTTACGTTGGGTGGTATTGGATATGTTTCCATGCGGAAAAAGTTCAATGATTCCTATTAGAGTAAATATCTCACAACCTCCTCTAAATGATATAAATTAAAGTGTATCATAAAGGTGAAAGATTTCTGAGTAAAAAGTAAAACATTTTGCAGGGAGGGACTGAAAGTCCTAGTTACATAAACATAGCCACTATTTATTAAGAACTAGTTTGACCAACTAGCAGTCTTTTTGGATTCAAATTAGACTAATCTACCTTTTTGTAACTGACTTAAAAAAATTGACGAGTTTTGAAGAAAAAGAAAAAAGAGGATCCTGTGCTCTCTTCAATCCACATGCAACATGATTTCAAGTCATCAATAAATTCTTCCCAAAAAAAAAGTAAAAACTCAATACTTGAAATTCATTTACTCATTCATTTAGACAGTGCAAAAAAAAAAAATATATATATATATTTGTGCTGTCAAACGATTAATCGCATCCAAAATAAGTTTTTGTTTGCATAATATATGTGTGTGTACTATGTATATTAATTATGTATATATAAATACACACACATGCATGTATATATTTCAGAAAAAAATTATTTTTATACATTAAACATTTATTTATTTATCATATAAATTAAATGAATATAAATATGTATATTTTCAAAATATGTACTGTATGTGTATTTATATATACACATAATAAATATGCACAGAACCAACTGGCCGCAAAATTTATCCTTAAAAAAAGACTTTTGTTGATGTTACTAGCCTACCTACTTTACTTTGTTGAGTATAGATTTAGTTAGTGTATATTAATGTTTTTGTACACTTGTAACATTTCTGTAAGTGTTCCAGTTTAGCTGTTACAGCTAATTTTAAGTTAAATTAATAGTCTGTTTAATGTAATCAGGTTGTTTTTAGTCCTATTAAATACTGTTTTTGATTTGAATAAAATCAGTTAATGTACATTTTTAAATTAGATATTATTATTTTATATTTTTATTATATATTTTATATATAAGATTTTTCCGGTTATTATTTATATAAGAATTTGTATCGTGTAGGATCCTGAAAAATAAATGTGTAATTCTAATGAAAGCCTGTTAAACCCACAAATCTCATAATACTGAAGATGTTTTGAATAGATATCATTGTGTTATAAAAATATATGAGAACAAATATCAGGAGACCATTTATGAACATTATTTAATTGATTGATCACAATTATTAAGTTATTTTGGTTATTATACAATTGTTGAGTTGAGCAGCTGTTGAACTATTTACTATATTAACTTATATAAAAAAACTAAATTATATACGAAATATAGAAGTCATTCAACAATTTAGTGTACATTTCACATCCATTGATGATAATTATATATTTTATCTAACAAGTTTCTCCAGAAACAATATTTTATCTGTTGATTCGAAGCATATTATCATCTCACACAAATATTATGTGCACCATTTCAGTTTCCTTGAAATTGCCTTGATGTCCCTTAAATTAGAGTTTTTGCAATGTTCATTTTTTAAGTGAGTTCAAAATAATGAATAAAAGTGGTTAAAGCAAAATTGATCTATATTCTGCATTTCTCCTCCATATGTGTGTGCATCAGATGTCAGAGGTGACTGAGGGCTGAAGAAAGTGAGCAGAATGGGTTATTCAGCTGCAATAAAGTTCCTCAAGTAATGCTGGGAGACAGGAGAGCTGTATGTCTGCAGAGTAACACATGCCAAGATCCCATACGCCAGGCAATCCTGATGCTTCCCAGTAGGTCCTGCTCTCTCCTGGGAATGAAGCCATATCTGAGTCCCCTATGACAGGTAGGAGTCGCATGCATCATTTATTTATGAATGTAAAATCGCGCTCCCTTTGGGGCAGTGAACATCTGGCACCGTGCTGTTCTATTCCGGGAGACTCACTCCTCTCTGCTCATGCAAATAGACTTTCACTTCTGGTTTTCTGCGCACAGGTTCATTGGTTAAATGCATTGGACTGAAACAAGATATGTTGGTTGTTTGTTTTCATTTTTTATTTATTTATTTAGACTTTTAATACACTTGAATTGTTTCTCATGATGACATTTTTATTGGAGCACATTGTCACATCTTTCAAATGGTCTTTTAATGCAGTATATTAATTGCATAATTATTAAACACAAATATTATATATATATATATATATATATATATAGTATTAATTATTGAACGCACACACACACACACACACATATGTAACCCAGTAGCAGTCAACAATCAATCAAACTATCTAATGGTGTTAATGTGAAAGCTCAAAACTCATTATTCATGTTCATGTCATTTGTATCTCCTGTGAAGGATCCCACTCATACTGCCACTAGATGGCTGTACAATACAGAATTCCACAGGTTCTATCTCCATGGACCACACATTTGACATCTTTCTATAATGGAAACATTTGCAATTTTTTGTCATCAGACAGACACAAAGATGCTCTAACTTCACTTTCACCCACTTTTCATTTTAACTCTGGTTAAAAATAATTTCCCTTCCATCTACCTTTCTAACAATATCGAAACTAGAATTGCCAAACTAAATATTTTATTTCAGAGTGTGGATTTTTTTTAGGCTGACTACACTCCTGTGTTTGTCCTAGTTTTAGTTTTTCTTTTCGTCGCTTATTTTTTATCTCCATCAAGAAAAGTTGATTTCTAACTTCTCTTATTACCGGTATTACCACTAGGTGGCCTCAGTAAACTTCCAAGAGTGATGTCTTAAAATATCTTAAAATGATGTAATTTTTATCAATATTTTAAAAGCTAAAATGATGGAATATTTTTAGATATTAAAGGAACATTTTAATATATTAAAATTAATTAATTAGAAGCCTTAGCGAGCATATGAGACTTCTTTCATTAAAAAAAATCTTACAGACTTACAAAAAAAATGTTATATAACCTTTATATAATGTTATGAAGAATGTCCACAGTAAAAAAAAAAAAAGAGAGAACTTCCACTGCATTACAGCTTTCTTATGTGTTGAAATCCCTAGATTCTGTTGGTTAAAGCACCTTGGAAAAAGCACCCTTTTTTCATTATTTTCAACAAAACTACAAGACGAAAAATCACAGTCTGTGTAGGGGGCCTTCGAAAATCGACTTTGACAAAGGGAGACCTTGCAGTTATAAAGGTTGAGAGCCACTGATCTAGAGCGGTCTAAACTGTCACAGCTCCAGGCTACATTGGCCAGCATGTAATAATTTAATTTTCCAAGCAAAATAGCCTTTGGGCTGAACTTCATTTCAATATTCATTGTACAGGTACAGCAAGGTAAGTTTGTCACTGGATTTTCTTTTCTAGTTACAAGCAAATTTCCAATCTTTTTTTCAGGCAACAGTGATGAAGAGGTGAAGATATGAGCTGTGATAGCGACAATTGCTTTCCCCTCCTTTCCTGTTTAACATTTTTTTTTTTCATACATGTCATTTCAAAAATTACATTGTCATGCATAATTTTGCATGTTTAATTCAGAGCTGCTTCTCTAGAGCTCTGAATACTTCAGCTGAAATGGTTTCTTTTGTTTATTTGCCTTTTTTCTTCAAATGGCACGTACTAAAATAGCTGGTGGATAAACAATATTATTCTTGGAAATGGAAAAAAAGGAGGAGAAAATGAAATTTCACCTGTTTATTATGTTCTCAAACTCGTTTAAGAAGCTTCCCGGAGACAAAACAGCAAAACTGAGTCGATTTGAAAGCCTTAAATGTTCTCAGAGTGCAAAATCAATAAACACATCTAAAAGCATTTACCTTAGACCTTATATGTCTGAAACAAACATCCAAATAATGTGCACCATTCCGCATTAATGTCAGTTTTAGCTATGACCAAATCTGCCATCGTAATGTCTCAACCCATATGATGGCAAATTCACGGTCTCCCTGAAATGGCTTTCAAAATGCCATTGCAGGCATTAAGGCACTTCAATTCATGCAGGAGAGCTGCTTTACTGTCATCAGAATCCTGAGAGAGCAGTTTGAGAGGTGGAGATAAGACAGGATACTGTACACAGGCCACAGAAAATGTCTCGCTCCACTCCTCTTCTTTATGGGAACTGTAAATCCTGAGTGCCTGCAGCATAGATGCTTCCCTCATTCATTTTCAAGGAGTTATCTTGCCATATGAAGATTTCATACTCGATGTTTGTCTGACATTACCTTAAAGATTTGTTATTTCATAAAATACAGTTAAATATGTTATATTAGACCAATCAGTTGCTGCATCCAGTGGTCTGTCATTTCCTAATAATCATTGTTGTTCATGGCAATGCATTAGAGCATGAAACGGGCGCTACTTTCATGTTACTCGTATCACACTGACTTGTATGGAAGCTTGTTTCAGCCACAGAATTTAAAAAAAAATGGAAAAAAGACAAAAACATTTTTTTTAATCTCACAATTGAGTTTATATCTCGCTATTTCAAATTCTGAACTCGTAATTGTGAGTTTACATCTTGCAGTTCTCACTTCTTTAATCAGAATTCTGAGTTTACATCTCACAAATTCTGTTTTTTTGTTTCCACCACGAATAAAAAAAAATAAAGATAATTGCGACTTTTTATCTTACAATTTTAACTTTTTGCAGTTGCGAGTTTATATCTGACAATTCTAACTTTTCTTCTCAACATCTTAACTAGACTTTTTTTTTATTAGAATTGCACGTTTATATCTTGCAATTGCAAGTTCTAAAATCATAACTGGAATGATACATATTGCATTTCTGACTTTTTTTTTCTCAGAATTCTGAGTTTACATTTCGCAATTTGTTTTTTTGTATTCCACTGAATAACAGAATTAAAAAGCTAATTGCGAGTTGTCTCACAATTCTGGTTGCAAAATATAAATTCACAATTCTGAGTTCATATTTCACAATTCTGAAAAAGACACCATTACCTTTTTTATTTATTTAATTTTTTTGTTTTATTCCGTGGCAGAAACAAGCTTCTATAGACTGGCTCTTTCTCTTTCAAACAAACAAAGTTGCCACCATCTTGCGACTTAGCCTGTGTATTATCATGAAAATGGCCTCAGATGACTTCAGTATTAATATTATTATGTTGCAGTGTTCATCTTGTTGCTAGGACAATTGTTTTGGACATTGTAATGGACTGTTTTTTTAGTGTAATCTTGGTGATATACACGTAAAAATGACAAAGTATTTCATCACCACATATTAATTTATATAGCTATTGGGTTGCGTACGTATATGTGGGGCGGAGCTATCAAAATAGGGGCAAGACCCTTTTGGGGTAGGGGCGTGTTTGTTTTGGTGATTTCAAATATCAACATTGGCTACCAGAAATCACTTACTCTGCCTTTAATCACCACATACAATTCGCATTTAAACCAAGCGGCTTTCTGTTGGTCAACACAGCAAATTAGCGTGACCAACTTGCAAAATTTGCAAAGGGAAATATTTTGCCCTCTAAAGGATACTCATTGTAATGACTTCATTTTGACCGCGAAAATTCGCTAAACAACAGTAAATGTGACCGCGCGTTTAAGAACGCTGTCATGCGCGAGAAGCTAGCACAACAGTCAAACATGTAGAAACGCCTAGCACGTTTAAATAGAACAGCAATGGAAAAGCAAAGCAGTGAAATGCAAATATGCATTCAGAGGGTCTTTATGGCATAATATCTTCTTTTTCTCCTCAGTTTGTTTCACTCAGAAGTATGTTGCGTTATGAAAGTATAAGTACTTGCGAATGACTAAATTCTTTGGGATGGGAGTGTTGAATCGTGAAAACGTGCGTTGTTTGATTATTAGTGAGATTTGTGCCTACAGCTCTTGGAAAATTATAGTTTTCAACATTTTATCTGGAGCTCAAAAAGCTCAAGCCACCAATTTATTGGCTATAGAGAGCTTTTTGATTTTCAGGGAAGACAGGTCAACTGTGAAATAGACTTACTGATAAAACCCTGCCTTTACAAATATCACACCGGGGCATTGTAGAACTTGTTTAATCTAGAACTGAAAAAATAGTCTGTTTATATGGCAAAATGTCAGGTCAGATGATTGAAAATGGTCTTGGATTTACAGTCTCAATCTCAAACTCTTTATTTTATTATTAACCAGAAGATGGCAAAGGTGAGCTGCCAGACATGTGTATGAGTGAGCATATGTGCATGCCTTCTTTCCTCCCATCTCTCTCCTTCTCTCTCGGTTTAATTAGTGATCACTTGAATTTCTTAAGTCATAACATCATAAGCATGGCCAGCATACTCACCGGACATGTCACCCATTGAGCATGTTTGGGATGCTCTGGATTGGCGTATACGACAGCGTGTTCCAGTTAATATCCAGCAACTTCGCACAGCCATTGAAGAGGAGTGGACCAACATTCCACAGGCCACAATCAACAACCTGATCAACTCTATGCGAAGGAGATGTGTTGCACTGTGTGAGGCAAATGGTGGTCACACCAGATACTGACTGGTTTTTGGACCCCCCCAGACCCCCCAATACAGTAAAACTGTACATTTTAGAGTGGCCTTTTATTGTGGGCAGCTTAAGGCACACCTGTGCAATAATCATGTTGTCTAATCAGCATCTTGATATGCCTCACCTGTGAGGTGGATGGATTATCTTGGCAAAGGAGAAGTGCTCACTAACACAGATTTAGACAGATTTGTGAACAATATTTGAGAGAAATAGGCCTTTTGTGTACATAGAAAAAGTCTTAGATCTTTGAGTTCAGCTCATGAAAAATGGGGGCAAAAACAAAAGTGTTGCGTTTATAATTTTGTTCAGTGTCGATAGATAGATAGATAGATATTTTTAGGATGTTTTTTAAGTGGTTGTTATTGTGGTGCATAGTTTTTTTTTTTTTTGTAGTTTCTAAACAGCTCATTCAGTTTTTATGATATTCTGTTTTTTTGTGTGTGTATTTTATCGTCTAACAGGTGAAAATTGATTGCTGAGAGCTTAGAAAAGTAAAAGCACTGTTTGAAGTACAAACAGTGTGGGGTGACTTGGGTTTGGGGTTTTACAGGCCGTTTGTAGCTACCAAACAAGGTCATGCGCTATATTCTGCATTATATCTCTAATAACAATAGAGGGCTGTTAGATAAATACTCCACATCACTAATAATACATTATACAACATTTTCCCCCACAAACAGCTTGAGTAATGCACTGTGATGAATTGTGCTTTTGAAAAATTCAAAGTTTGTTCTTAGAGCTCCAAAAAGACGCTCAAATCTCTTTTTCTGTTTCCTCTCTAGGTTTTCCTGCAGTCAGTCAACAATCTACACCTTCTCACAGAGCTTCAACACACTAAAGACCAGACCTGAATTCCCAGGTTCAAGGCTGTGTCTGGCTATTTTAATGCCATATAGGTGGACTGTTTCCCTTGTTGGCATCTCCTTAACAGGCAACCACCTAGTTTGGCTAGAAACGGCCCTGTCTGGGGTGAAAATCTTCATTAAAATCTTCTAATCTGCACAATCTGCCACAGCCTGCACTTCTTGCATTGAGCTGCCAGACATGTGTATGAGTGAGCATATGTGCATGCCTTCTTTCCTCCCATCTCTCTCCTTCTCTCTCGGTTTAATTAGTGATCACTTGAATTTCTTAAGTCATAACATCATAACTAAAAACACCTGTTCTGTCTGGAGAAGTTTGAATCAAATCCTTAAGCCTATTAAACTTTACTCGTCCCACACCATTTGTGCTGCAAACATGAATGATGCCTCAAATTGTGCAGTTTGTTGAGGAGAGGTGTGTCATTACTAGTGGGTTGTTAACTCGCATTTTCTTCAGAAAATGATTTCAGGTGTAATTTTTAGATTAAATTTTTAGATTTTAGATATTTTCTTTCAGATTTAGCTGATATGAGCCAAATTAAGAAATAGACTCACAGTAATGATCATAATAATTATCCTATATGAAAATGACATAGAGAGCATTATGTAGATTGTCTGCATTACTGATATGTATCCTGTCATAATTATGTCTTTGATCTATGCTCTATGATCCTCTGAGAAAATGACCAGGAGTGGTTGAAATTAGTTTATACGATAGAAATAAATCCAAAATGCACAAAAATGGCAACATCTCTATTTAACAGTATGCACAGAAAGACAATAGACTACAAATTTGCTACGCAGAGCGATTCTTATGTTTGTCTGTGATTAGTTGCAGCCGGTACATTTTCTGAGACACAAACAGCCAATTACCACTTCATTGAGATGTATAAATGTTCATCATGCAATGCCTTAATTTAACTAGAAGTTAAACGAAGATTTAGATGTTCTCATAACAGACAAGCACACATTTGAATGGCAGTGCCGTGAATGATGTTCTTAATTAAGATTTTCATTAATGAGCCAATAATGAGCACTCTTTCAGAGTGTGTCAGAAGACACCCAGCGGGCAAATAAGAATCTGTTCATTAAGTACCGTGGTTATATATGAGGAAGAGTTTCTCTTGATGTTAAAATAATCAATTTGTAAGCGTGCCGATTTGAAATTAGGTGGCGAAATTGTGAGCTGAGAACTTTGAACTTTTAAATGGTCATTCTGTGAATGAAGGAAACCGTCATCATCATTTTAACTCTCATAATGTGCATTGTAAATGTCGTACAATACAAGTCTTGGTTCTTAATAATGCAGTATAATTTTGCTAATATTTCAGAATATGGCTTGTACCAGTACTTAATGTAATATTGCTGCCCGGATCCAATATACTGTTGCACATGTGTGCTCTTTTTCAGCTGTTTGGTTTCACTTGCAAAGACGGGCCTTTTTACACATGAAAGTGTGTGTATTTAACCGTTCAAGGCCTATAAAGTGGCAAAAATAACTCAGCTCTATAAGCACTGTCTTGTTTTCAAACCACAATTCTTAAAATGCGTGCAAGCGATACGTTTTTTGTGACCATGTAGCGTGTAACCGCCATAGAGACGACAGTCCAAAATCTCTACCGGTTAATCGTGTCTACTGGTTTATCGCCCACCCCTAATAGATATGTAGAACGATAGATAGATAGAACGATAGATAGATAGATAGAAATCTTCATTAAAATCTTCTAATCTGCACAATCTGCCACAGCCTGCACTTCTTGCATTGGCATTTCGCTTGACATCCAAAACTTACAGAACTGCAGCTCTGAGCAGTTAATGCTGAATACCAAATCGCCTCTTTGTCTCCGTAGCTGTGCTTTAGACATTAAAAAAAAGTGAGGAATATCGATTACGCTGTCGCTCGTGTGAAGGGGGACAGGTCCTTTCCTGACTAATTTGTAGGAAAATGCACCTTGTGGCTCCTCCCTTGACACAGTGTTTATTCAGCAGAAATAATTGGTAATAGCTGAAAGATAATGTGAGCAGAATGGTCATATTTCTGCCTGTGCCGGTAACGTCTCATGCATTTTTATGCTGTACAGCAGCAGTATTAGAACCGATAATGTTCAGTAATTAAAGCTGCATGAATGGGTGAAATGGAGCCTGTACTGAAACTCATTGCTTATTTTGTATAGTGCAGTGGTGCTTATTTCAGTTGGCGGACCATTAAAAAAAAAAAAAAGTGACCACCGAACACCCCAAATCTCCTTTGTTCATATTTCATTGCAATTCACTAAACTGCACTTCAATTTGCAATTCAAATTTGAATATAAGCATGTACAATCTAAATGAATTGTAAATCAAATAAATTATTTAACTATAAATGTTAACTAGAAAAGCAAAGTTTGTCAAAAAATGATAGATAGATAGATAGATAGATTTAAAATAAATGCTGTTCTTTTTAACTTTTTTCCATTCATCAAGAATCATGAAGATTATATCATGGTTAACACAAAAATATGGAGCTGCACAACTGTTTTCAACATTGATGACAATAAGAAATGTTTCAGTGAAAATTCAGCTTTGCATGGCAGGAATAAAATTGCAGGTTTTAAATTGCAAAAATATTTTACAATATTACTGATTTTACTGTAAAATTTTGATCAAAAAAATGCAGCCTTGGTGAGCATAAGAGAATTATCAACCCCAAACATCTGTAAGGTAATATAGATAGATAGATCTATAGGTGGCTAATTTGTACAAATTTGTATGATCTCACTCATACAAATTCATATAAGTTTTGCTAAATCGTACGTATTTTAAGAGTTCCCCAATTCGTATGAATTCGTATGAATGACCTACCCCTAACCACGCCTCTAAACCTACACATCACTGGTGTCTTCACAAATCGTACGAGCGAGGTCGTACAAATTTTGTACGAATTATCCACCTCATAACATACGTACGAATTGGTCGTGAGATAGTGTTGGGTTTAGATAGTTTTTGTCAGTAGTCAGCCCTGCTGGTAGAAGTCATAACTACACCATTATGTGGGTATAAAGCCCGTTTTCTACATTAAAGCCCATTCAAAATAAGCCATCTCAGAAACTGAAGCAATGATGCAAAAATGATGGCATCCTAGCTTAGTGAATGCCATTGAGATGAATGGGAATGCTGATGGATAGCTCCCTCGAGGTATTTTAGATCTCCTCGGTAAAATAAGATAATAGCTAGCTACCTAAATAAAATACATATTAGTGATTTCTTGTTGAATTTCTTAACATTAAAACTGCTAAAAACATATATTTGACCCATCACACCAGTTTTAAAAGTAATTTGCTCGTTCCTTTAAGAAGTACTGTACATTTTCCTTTGAAACACTGTTTTGAATCTTAAAATCAAATGTTGTGGTTCATTGCTAAATTGGTTCAAAGGTTAGAACTGTTTACTGACAAAAATTCAGAAATGATTATATAGAAAATGAATGATAAATTAAGCCTGCTTCTGAAACCCAGACTGTTTTAAAAGCATGTGGTTACTGTTGAGCTCTATCTTGTCAGTCCTCCTGGAGAAAAGATTTGTGTGATTGATGATAGTGAATTTGATTTCCTTAATTTGAATTTGATGATCATAGTTTGAGACATTTTACCACAACAAATTACAACACAAGTACCAAACGGGGAGCAGAAAGGAGGTCGGATGTAATCCGACTCATCCCGCAGGAATCGTACTGCAGTGATGAGCCATTCTAAAATAATGTGGCTGATCCAGGCCAATTTGTTTTGAATCACTGGGATTTGACTACGTCTCAGTTAGTGATCCTAAAATAATGGGAGTTGTCATGGACAAAAGGAGGAGACCAAATAAATCCATGCGAATCAGGGCTGGCGCTTCAGAGCGCATCGGGGTATTTTTCCTCCATCTGACATTAGTACAGTAAATCCAGGCCACGGCTGATGTTTACCGCTGCTGTCCGCAAGTCCTGTCGGATCCATTTGTGTACACAGTGCCCTGCTGTCCCTCGAATATGTTGTTTTCTGCCATCGCTTACTCAAAAGTAGATTTCTGCTACCTGCTCAAGTTACGTATAGAATGAATTAATGGAGCACAGTTCTTTGTCAGGGAGTAATTTCAAATGATAAAGTTTATTTCATCTGTTTGCTTCGAGATTACATGAATCATGTTTGTTTATTCAGGCAGGGGATTTCTAGTTCCCAGAATTGCCGTAATGGGGAGAATAAATGTTGAAATTAAGTGTTATTTTATGTGTTTTGAGTAGGATGAGAAAAGAGGGAGACTTTTTAGTGTTGCAAATTATCTGTTATGTTGGGATTTAGAGAGTTTTTATCTTTTTTGGGAGTTACCGTTGTGGTGAAGAGTGGAGCTTATGTGTTATGCTGAGTATTGGGTAATAATAATTGATTTTTTTTTAATGCTGTTCATTGAAGAATCGTTTGTGCATGTGCATTTTCAAATAATAGTTTAAGTACGCTAATGGTATTTGGAATTCAGCCCAATCTTTCGGAATAAATTGCTTTGCGAAATAATTAGAATCGATTGAAATACTGTACACTGATGACAGCTATTGGTCAAACACGTGTAGAGGCTTCAAAATAGTATGTTTGTGAAAATTACTGCCATTTTCACTGCTAACTTTTTATGAAACATCGGTCTATGATATTTGACTCTGCAGAGAGCTTTAAATATACATGGCATTTAAAAAATATTATTTCATATACACACTACCATGTTTGGGGTTTGTAACATTTTTTTAAATGTTTTTTTTTTTTTAAGTCTTCTATGCTCGCCAAAGCTTCATTTATTTGATTAAAAATGCAGTTAAAACTGTAATATTGTAAAATATTATTACAATTTCAAATAGGTTAATATTTATTTTTTGATACTTTTAAAAATGTAATTATTTCTATGATAAAAGTTGAATTTTCAGCATCATTACTCTAGTCTTTAGTGTCACATGATCCTTCAGGAATCATTCTAATATGCTCAAGAAGTATTTCTTATTCTTAATGTTGAAAATAGTTGCTTGTTTATTCATTCATTCAGTCAGTCAGTCGGTCATTCATTATTTATTTATTTATTGTGGAAACTTTGATGCATTTTTTTAGGATTCTCTGATGAATAGAAAGTATTTAGC